AGAAGTTGGTTCAGTTCACAATCATTACCTGTCTATAAGAGTGTTGCCGACTAAGTTTCCTATGCATTTGCGATTGGGGTTTTGTGGGAGTGGTGGGTGGGGAAGGATTTGATGAGTATGTTTCTGGGAGACTGTCTGTGGACTTGTTCCTTGGAAAACTTCGTCGTAACTTCTGGTGAGTGTTAAGTGATGGTGGTTTCTCATCTATTGGAGACATTGGTGGTGTTGGGCCACTTCCAAGAGTGTCCATGGTGTGACTACGACCTCTTAGAGAYGGGGAAGGAGCTGTTTTTTGACAGTCATCACTCTAATATACAWGAAAAGAYAACATTAAAATTGTATAAATGAAAGAAGAGGTCCTTTGCAAATAGAGGTCAGGTGATCATGGCTTCCAGGTCCAGAAAGAAAATAGGACTGCAAGGATGTTAAAGTTACATACAATTACTTACACCAGTCATAAGATAGGAATATTAATAAAATCATTTGTACTTACTTGATTATTCTCATCTATGCTATCTTCTYTTAGAGTAGATTTCGACCGACCCTACAAATAAAGAACCATCATAAGCCATAACACATGATAACACGATATCATTCAAGATAACATTGAATTTACCCTGCTTTTATTGCGAAAGTTTCCAAATGAGTTTGCAATTGACTGTTTTGCTTTCTGTAGAAGATTTGACCCTTGCTTGTCTTTATTCTATACAGACAAATCAACATGAATTATTGTGACTTCATTATGAAAATAGGCTAAAGARTAAGAGGGGTTGTCAACGCTGTAAACACTCATCTTATGRCGTCCAAATTAATCTTCAAACGAGTTTTGAAAAAGTATGCTTGTGATTCATTCACAAATTAAACCAACATAACCAACAATGCTGGGTACAAGATACAATGACTTATTAGGAATGTAGCCATTAGGTTATTCATAATTAATTCAGGATTAACCTGTCTTTCCCTTTGCTACTTTCAAATGCCACATGAGAAGTTATGTCATCTTAAGCTCACTAGTTATATTACATTGCACTTAGATGCAAATAAAATTACAAAAAAAGCTGTAAACGAGACTACTAAAGAGGTAGTTTACAGCTATAGCTTTCATACCTGGGTGGAATAAGTATGAGTGTGTAGTTTTTGTCTCTTTTCATATATTGCCCGTAAAATTGCCATTACTACTTCRACTTCTTCGCTGACATCAGGTATGGGAGACTCTGCCTAATAAATCCAAAGTAACAAAATATTCAAGTGTTGACATTCAAGGTTTAAATAAGAATCCAACTATAACATTCTTGCCGATGAATTCACTTAAGACACCCAGCATATAATAATGATTGTAGGTTCATGATAGATAACCTACTTTTACGTAGGTTAAAAGGGTGTGGGAATGKGCCATTTTTTACTAACCTTATATCTCTCCGTGAAAATATTCATTTCTTCATCWGTCAACTGAACCAACTCTTTTTGCAGCAAATCATGCTGCTGAGAGGGTACACAACCTACAATATCAATTATCAAATTCAATAATAATTCATAAGGTAAACACAATTGAAAATCATTGCCATGACTGCATCTTTATATGAGCAAGAGATTTGTCCTGATTTGCATATGACTTTAACTTCAAATTTTCTATTTGAAATGATATTTTATCATGAAGTTTTCTTCGAAATATGCTTTAGCTTGTGCTGGAATTTGATAAGCAATATAAAATATTCACGTCCAACCTTTATGGGCTCTTTATACCCATAAAGGTATCCCGCTCATATTTTATATTATATGACTTAATTTGTATCATTATTTACATGTAAGTAAACTAAAAGCATAATAAAAACGCTAATACTAAATAAATTAAACATAATTTCTATTCATTTTGAATCTACCTTCTAGTTGAGTACACATTAGATGAAGATGGTGGAGAGGGCATGATTCACAAACATTTGTTGTTCCTGTTGCTTGCCATGCAGCATGAAATGCTTGTTTTAATGATCTCATTACACTATCAACCTGAAATTCGGAAATACTTATGTATAAAGATAATATAACCAAGTACAAAGACATTGTTATGGTCAGATAACAAGTAAGATAAGATATGTAAAACAATAAAAAATAGATAAACTAGAAAAAGAAAAGAACTAAAACTAAATAACAAAATCATAAAAAATGGTGAAACTTGTGAATAGAAAAAAATAAAATCATCTTTTTATTTGAAAATTAAAAACCTTAAATGCCAATTATTAGCCAGTAATCTAATCTTATTGCCCTGCATATAATCCAGGGAAGTACTACTGCCATGATATCTTTAATGTGGTCACTTTGATAGGGAGTAACACCAGTTTCCTGCACAAGTATTATGTTCAGTTTTGATTTTTATGAACAGCCTTTACAAATAAAACTGCCACACTACATGTATTTTTTAATGTAATTTTATAAATTATTTCTTAATGAAGAAAAAGCAAAAAAGTCAAGCAAAAAGATTGAAAATATAAAAGAGCAAGTTGAGAACATTAGAAATCCAAAGGGAAAAAGGTGGATATCGAGTTGCCTAAGGAAGGAAACATGAGATAAAGGGARGGTACAAATCTATGATTATTTACTCACAATAAAACATCAGTTACATACTGCACAATTTCATTACATTATCGGGTTTACTATTTTAATAGGAATATTGCTTTGATAGGAGTTTAGTCTATTCTGCTTAAATGTTGCATTGTTTCAAATCCTACAAAGTTTAATTTCAGATTTCAAAGGGTTTTCATATGGTAAGACCTGACGTCTCTTAATATCATATACCACATATCAAACGTCAGCTTTGTATACTGTAATCTTTGTAACATAATCACCCGCTATATTGTATAATTTGTAATACCAAGGAAAAGAAACAACATTAGYGAAACATATGTTCAATAAATATCAAATATCAAGGAAGTATATAATGAAGGGTGGAGAAAAATTTCTGGGGGAAATAACATGTAATAGAAATGCAGGGCTAAAGAGAAATTAGGAAAGTTTCAGCAGATAAAAATGATCCAAAGACAGACAAAAACTACAYAAATACTTACCAGATATTCAGCTTCACCCTTAAAAACATAGCAGACATAGCCTGTAGTTCTCTGCTCTCGACAAATGAAACCAAAATGCTCTGAATTCTTGGAACCCTTGAAAAAAAGAACATATTTTTACTAAACTTATTAATGTCACCAATAAGGAGCAGGGTCATGAAAYAGTGACTATACTGTGATATCTAAACAAGAAATGATTAATTCATTGTTGTTTTAATTTAAGTAAACTCTAAGTGAAAATCCTACCTGTTGACAAAAGGATATCTCTCGCAGTTTTTTCTCCATTAGCAGGACATTGTTGACAGAACTGACAACCATTATATTAAAAGGACTTATTTGGAGCACCACATTCCTGTTCTCTGAGTTTGTAGCAAAACTAGCACTTCTAGTATGTGTAGGTCTTGGTTGATGATCACTGTCACTCCTGTCCTTAGTCAGTGAGGGGTTGAAAAGCTTCTTGTCACCATCACTGGCAGATCTAGGCCTAGCTTCCTCATTAGACACTGGCAAGACAGGACAAGCTAAGTTCTTAGGATCACAGTCACCAATGACAATATCTGCATCTAAGCTTGCTGCCTTCATAGCTCGCTGGTGTAAATTAGACTTGGCCTGTTCTGGTGGTGACTGTCTAGTTGTAACTTGTGAGCTGTATTCCTGTGGACGTTGGTTCTGATTCTGCAACTCAGATTCAAGCTCAATCCTGCGATTGAGATTCTTAAATCTTTCTACAGAATCATCAATAAGTGTTGGAGGAGCCTGGCGATGAGAAACTATGACTTTTCCCACATAATTCAAAGGAAAATTGACCATGATAGTGTTAGGGACTTCAGAGCTRGTATTTTCAAAACTCGTTAACTTTCGTTTTGGCTTTCCTTCAGTGTCAGTAGAGTTTTTAACTGTTTCTTTTATACAGTGAATAAAACCAGGAACCTGAAATACAACATWACAACATTGACATTATTATGATATTCTTAAAAAGATAAAAGTAATAACAATGTTGGATACTAATAAAAACATTATTAAAAGCAATATATATTTTGTTCTTTTAATAACAGCTCTGATGATTATACTGAATATTTATCATTTGTTGTAGAAAACATGTARAGAAGATGAATAGAAAAAAATGATTAGCACCAAAAATAATGACAATGAATTTATAATCTGAATTAACATGCAATCATAAATCCAACTTGCAACTGCAAGAAAAAATAATAGGCCTCAAAATATATGTACCACCATAAAATGAAAGTAATACAATTGTTATAATATAATAATAATTTAAATCTTATTTTAGGTGGTTTCCAGTTATCTTCGGTTTCTATCGTATGCCAAAATAATTACTAAACAACCATTGTTCAATAGTATGGTCAATATTCTAGCCAAATAGGTTTTTATAGGGTTTAAGTTCTAATGTCTTAGCTTAGCTTTATTAGTAACTATTTCCCAACMCAGTGAAATGCACTTCAGCGCTCTAGCTCAACTAAATCTGTAAAGAGAACTACCACAAGTAAGAATTATGGCTTTAATCCATTCTTCAAAGACTGAGTATGATATCTCTTTGTTCAAATCTCACACTTAGTTAATAAGTGCTTAATGTTTTTTTTCTGTTAATGGCACTCGACAACTCAAGATGGTCAAACACTAATAATATCTTGTTTTATCAAGTTATATCACTTGGCAGTTAATAGGGMTAAAATACTTAAATGGCAGCATAAAAATAATGAAATAGCATATAAACTAAGTGAAATAAAAGCAAGATATTTACCTAAACTATTATACAAATTTCATCCCTCTATGTTGTAAAAAAACACTAGAAATTTTGGTGTTTTTCAAAGAAATTATAAATTGATACAAAATATCAACAAAGAAAAMAAATTTAATTTTTGAGAAATGAATATAGGGAATGATATTAAAAATAAATGTTGTTCAAAGAATTGAATTTATAATACTCATTTTCTGAATGAAAAACATGAATAATTAATAGTTTATTCCTTTAATAGTTATGGTTGAAAAGTTCTAACTTGAATATTATTTTTGAAGAGAAAATAATTATTCAAAAATCAAGTAAATACATTTATGAATTAACTGGGAAAATATACTAAATCATTTTATTTTAACAACAACCTAGTATTTTTGATGGAAATTAAAAAGAGAAATGCAAAAAAGATGTTGCAGAATTGTTTAAAATACATTTTTTCAGTGTCATATTTGTTTTTTGTTCAAAMAATAATGTATGATGCAACATCAATAAGCAGTTTCATAAGCAAACAAACAAATAATTCTCTTATATTATTCATAAGAATATTTTTGTAAAATTAATCACATCACATGAAATATATTTTTCAAGAATATTTCAACTGCAGAGATCTGCAAAGCTACAGCCTAAATATCATTTTTATTGTGTCTCAAAGGAAAAGATATAACTATTCTAATCTTTAAACATGAAATAACTACCATAACAAAATGCAGAAAGAATWATATGGATTTCAAACATGCTGATTTGATATCATTTGCATTCTGCAAGCTTGTACAATCTTTAAATTTTGTTTTCATTAATATATCACAGTTGGTAATGACCATCAGAAGTCATTGATGTACAGTTACTATTTCGAATTTCCTTGCTCTYGTGTTTGAGTTAATTCTGGGCGATAAAAGGAAAGACCATACAGCTGATTCCGTTGATTGCTTGGTAAAAAGATCTCGATTTCTAATCTCTAAATGCCAAAAAATATTACTCTGTATCTGATTTGTAATAAAGTTTCGTTTTAAAATTATTAGAAAAAAGGTTGTTGCAACAAGAAGTGAAGCAATATTCCAATATTCCACATAATAMTTTGATCTTCATAAATTTACTTATTCCCCCCCCAAAAAAATGCATTTTTGATTCTGTTAGTCAGGACTGTGATATTTTTATACCATCATCTATCATCACTTAATGACCCYGAGCACCCAATAATCTGTCTGCTTTCAAGCATGAGGTGGATTTAAAGCTCAGTAAGTAAATCATCAAATGAACACACAGAGCTAAATCTCATGAAACATTTGCTGTTCTCCATATCKTAAACCAATCACCTAAACAGTGAATTTTACTGTGAACGGTTTTGTAGAAATCTGAATATTGACCAAATGATAGCAATTATTAAGCAATCATGTTAATGATAGACTATTTGTAAGTTCYCTTGGTCTTAAAACACAAGCATGTTTGTATGATAGACCATTGTGATACATACAGCAGTAGCTCTCTAACCTTTGACACCTGAAACTGCCTGCAAAAAATTGTACATCTTCAAAGAATCACTACTTTCAAAAGATATCTGACTTGATTATAATGGTTTCAAAGCAAGCTCTAAAAATACCAGTTATAAAACAATTATAGTAAGAGCACATGTCTTCATTTTTMGAATCGAGCCTTCAGGCTGATTGCAAAGCGATACCATTAACAGTACCAGAGTTTCTGTGGTGTTAAGCTATTGTCTTTGTAAAGAAAAAATCAACATAAATTACCACAGAAAGAACAAAAACAATTTGATGGAACCTGTAAATTTAAACATTGAACAAAATAACATGCATAAATCTACAAGGTAATTTCTACAAATCTGCTAAATGGTATATAATACAAGTTTATATTGACAGAGGGAGTTGATTTTTTCTTCCACATGGACCATAACCACCATATGTTGATATTAATTACCATGCAAGGTGACAGTTTACAAGAATCTCTAAATGTCTAAATCATATATGTAATAATAACCCCACTAAACTGATAATTTAGCAATATATCCTCATGATAACAAGTTAAAACATGATTATAATAGTACAATCATGTAAACATGAGGTACACTTTGAAAACACTGTGTTTGTCAAACAAAAGAACTAATTTGAATGGCTTTTGTTTCCAGGTAGAGCTGTGGCTTAAGGTAGACATTACCATAGAATTACTGGAAGCCCTGGTGGGTGTTAAAATTATCATTTCCAATCATTGGGATATAGTTTATTGACGAAATCTCCTGTATTTCTGAAGGAAAACCAGAGTCAAATATAGAAGATTGTTGTTTTTCAAGGGTTAATAATTGTTGAATGAAATTATGTACATGAAGTAGCTACTTATAGGTTTTGCTTGCAGGATGTATAAAAAAAATCTTTGCACTTGTCCCTGRAGATACTGRACATGTACTGAACTTTTGTCATGTGTACAGGAGAAACGACGATTTGACATAGATTTGAAAACAACTCAAACAAACAAAGCTTTATTGTTTGATGAAAGTGACTTTCACAAACACTTCATATTTTATATAGAATCACTTGAAAACGACATAGATGATATTGACTTCATAGTGATCCAACTAGCCTATACAACTGGGCCTACACCATGCCCCCTTCTAATTGCCAATGCTTTAAAATTCACAGTAAAACAACACCTAAAAAAGATCTCTCTTGTGGCCAAAAATTGCATTTGGTAAACAACAATCTTTCCAAAATAATCATTTRGCCCTAAGCTATTCATAGGGAACAAGCAAGACCAATATGATAAAAAAAATTTCTTTGAAAAGCCGAAAACAGCCATTAAAGTCACAATACTGTCAAATAAGAATAACATATCAGCTCAAATTATTTTGAACATTTGTTGGTTACTGAAGTTTATTCCAATATAAAGTGTTTTAACCCCAACCTAATCAAACCCACTCAAAAGCAGTTAACTTATATCTTTGAAATATCGAATAAACATATTTTGAAGGAAAAAACTCTCGACGGAAATTATGAAAATAAGCAACATTCAATTTTTTTTTTTCGTTCAGCTATACAAAATTGCATTTCAAATTTTATACAAATTTCAAAATAAAAGTCACCGTGATCTTGTGTCAATATCGACCCCTGGGCCCAAAAAGTATGCAATCAAACAACAAACTCAAAATTTAATATTAGAAGTATAACAATATCTTTCATCCAAACGTGAATAAACGAAAGGTCAAAAAAACATTAATGACTCGCGGTAAAGAAAGACAAAATAGTTGTCAACATGGTCAACCTTTATCGTTGAAAGAAAAAAACAACAACAAATTTCAACAATAAAATAACGGGTAGAAATCTTACCGATAAGTTGTCTATAGCTTCAAAGACGTAGCAAAAACACGAGCATGTACTGTCGTTGGACTTGACCAAATAAGCAAAGCATTTCTTGTCCAAAGACCGCGCACATCGGGTGATACTTTGTACACCATGTTGGAAAGTGGTTGTGCCATCCGCCACGTTCAGCGCTTTTACGGAAGATCCTTCGACACTTAGATTAATGTCAATTCTTTCCTTTCGTCGGCGAACCTCAGATATTACCCAAGGCAGCATCGATTGAGTATAACGACGGTCCAAGACAGCAAAACCAAGGTATACGAACTGAAACCTTTGAGCAGCTCCATCGCCATTTTGAAGAGGCTCAGCAGCAGGAGTAGTGAGGTTTTCGGCTGCAGATGACATCGCTGAGCCGGTGGAATCGGTAGAATCTCCTTCTTCGAAACTGCCGACTCCACTATCGAGAGACTTACATACTTGGCTTTCCTGGCTGTTCGAAGGACTATTTTTGAGCCATGTTTTTTTGGAGCTCGTCACGTCCATCACACATAGAGACACGAGGTATCCAGGCCTGGGGTTTTTACTTTATATAGAGACAGCCTCGTTCTGGTGCTGCCTTAGCTCGTTCTCTTTCTTTTGTGATCTAATTAACTTTTCTCTTTGAAACAAAAGATTGCTTGAACATGCCTATCTTGGTGAAATAGTTCCTAGAAAAAATTCGGCAACCAAATGTGAAAGAATTGCATTAATTGCATCCGTTTCTAGTCGCTTTTTCCATTAGTTTTTTTAAAGCGAGCGACCGGTTGTTTAGCCAGGCAGATTGTGTTTTTTAAAAGGTGCGTGACGTCAAAGATTTGAACAATAATCCCGTTTCTTTAAACCATTTATTTTACTGCATTATAAAAAAATCCGCAAAATTTAAAAGAAGGCAACTATGAGGATTAAATATAGACTGAACAATTTCCTTTTTAAATCAAAATTTGAAAAAGGGCGTTTGGGTTAATTTTTTAGGGCACATGTATGAACTCAAGACGTGCCGAAAAGTAATCCTGGTCCGCTGCCAAATATTACGAAATTGTCTTACCTGAAATCGAGAATAAATTGTCTTCATACAGAGATCAGATGAKTCTTTTAWGCARCAAAAGGCTTTGGTTCGTGTAAGGTGTGCTTTTCTAGATTTGATCGAAATCGCCAAGGTCAACTGGCCACCAAACTGATGCGTCATTGACTGTATGATAATCACTGGCAACGAAAACGGTTTGATTTCCAGTATATCAGATGAATGCTAATCCATAGGACAATAAGGCTTTCTATCAAAAATGATTTGTTTTGTGTAAAATCAGTAGGAGGGAATTTATGTTACGATTTCCCACTATACCATTATCACGCTTTAAAAACATACAGTCAATATAGAGAAACAAAACAACAACCTGTCAATCCAGTTCGCGGATAAATCAAAGGGAAATTTCTGAGAATTTGTTCATTTAAGATTTTGTTCTTTTCTAATTTTAGCCTTTAAGCCCAAATACACTTGACATTCAATATCTATCTGAAATCACTAGCGAACTAATGTACACGACCTTGACCTCAGTTAGTACACTTCACTGGTACAATTTGGGAGCTTAATTATTTGATTAAAAGGGTAAGCTATGCTTATATCGGTGGCTATATACACATATTCCATATAGTTTAAGCCATTAACATCGAATATTGATTATATTCTCGTATGACCCATGTTTCGTTTAAACGTATTATGAGCAGCAACACCAAAAGTGATTCAGGTCACGTACAGTCCCAAATTATGTAAATAAAAAAAGTGACATATATTTTTGCTATGCAAAAGGATATTGGAATCAAAGAGAAATGATAATCAACAATCACACTGAAACAGAGTCCTTATCGTACACTGACAAACTCGAACTGTCATGTACCAGTCGCAACAATTAAGTACWGGTTCCCAAATTCTGAATTTTGTCACGCAACAAGTGTCATGTCATCACGCAATATCGTGACACGTAAGATCAAAACACGAGCCAGCAAATCCAGCAGATGAGKGAAACGAACTCCCTTCTTAATATTATGCATCTGTGCAAATGTTAGTCTGAGATCGTGTGTGTTTAGTCGTGGATCAAAGATGCTGAATCAAATGTTGATTTCCGTGACATCTCGGTCATCGTTCGCGTCAAGATCTTCATTTGAGGGGTAAGGACCGTACTGATGCGTTCTTGTGGCATTTTAATATTGTTTAATTCCCTTAGTGTTGTGTAATGGTATGAAAATGTCACGAAAACGCACCATTGCGGACAAGACCTTTATAGAAGTGYGGTGATCCGTTCTGCTAGGACTGCAAGACGACATTAAAATCCATTACAATAAATGAAATGCGCTGAGTATCTATAATCATGGACATGCTTACGCAAATGACGGTTACTCCTTCCATTCCCTTCCTAATTTCAAAGATKCTTCCTTTTTAATGCTCTTTTGATTTATGGGGTTGATTGAAATCGGTTAGGGAAGGTTCGTTTCCCGTGGAATGTGGAGGCGGCAGTGGGGGCAGTTGTGGGGGTGGGGTGGGGGGATGCAGTACTATAACGCGCCTTTGTACAATCGGAAAGGTTTTGATCCTGTGAAGTGCTTTAAGGGGTGCAATGGTAATTACCAGCGGGCCATTTTAGAGAAACGTAATTTGTAAAAACAGGAAAGCGTGTCCTATAGACACCTTTCTTCGCGAACTCTTCCTGGCGGATAATATTTTGTCCGTAATAGACCTTCTGTCCGCTACTTAGCGTGAAGTTGTTGTGCTTTTATTTTCCAAACCTAACAAAAACTGTAAAAAGAAAAGACCTGTGTCGCTCTTTATACACACGGCCCCGATTATCTTCACTTCCGAACCGTTTTGTTCTGGTTTGCCAGGCACAGGCACATTTTCACGTACACATGCCCTATTTCACGTACACAAATGCAAATATTTTCAATCACGTTCGCGGTGTGCCGCAAACGATACTGAAGCAATGAAATGAAAGGGGGACATTTCTGATGCAAAATAGAAAACCAAATGCCATAAAAATAGAAAATACTAGAAATAAAGGTTAGATGAAAAGTGAATTTTAGTAAAAAAGGCAAACAGAATGAATAGGAAAAATAGAACCAGCAAAATGTTTTCACACATAAAGTCTAATCTTTTCACCGACTCTTCAACGACATAACTCTTTAAAATTTATACCATTGTGGGTGCAAACCTGAAACATACCACACTGTCCACACTAATGTTAAATTTAGAAATTTAGATAAAAATATATCCAATCAAAACAAAAAGAGAATCAAACCTTAGCTCACTTTTCGATTCGCCTTTTTTTGCTGTTTTTAAACACTATTCACTTTGAATTTCACCCTCTGCAAATTGTGAAATGGGGGGTGTCAAGAAATGTTCAATGAGGAGAAAGTCCCTCTAGCGGATATTTATGTATGTTAGTCACGTGATATTAGGTACYTTTCGTTTCGTTCAAGATGTCGGCAGACAGTCGTGTTTGTGTATGRAGTACTCTTTTCGTCATGTTTACATGAAAATTTCCGGCCTTTTCCTCTCGTTTGTAATCGTTTACAAGTAGGCAAGGGTCCACTGGTTATAGTSCTASCATTTAMGACCGTTTTCCTCTTCTTCAACAGTTTCAAGGTGAGTAGAAATGCAGTCAACACGTTAGCACTTTTGAAATGAAATTTTCTTGGCGTCCAGCGCAACAACCGCGCGAGAAATTCCGATGTTGCTGTTTGGGAATTGCCTTTTATCTATTGGAAATTAATTGTGTTTTGTGAAGTTATAGTATGTAGTATATCCTTTGAAAGTAGTTTTGGTTAAATATTAGGATGATTGTAAATTTTTGAATTTTGGTCGTTTGGTGTCAATGTCCTGTTTTGTGGTTCGTTGCTACATAAAACTCTGAACTCTTGGACAGGTCTTCAAAGGTGCATATGACACAGAAATAACCACGAAAAAGCAATGTCTTTTATATTATTTAGGCGTCTTAAAAATAAACAGCTCATTATTAAAATCATTAAGCATAGTGTACTCATTCACTAACTTGAWYAGCGTTTACTGAGTTTCCAGAAACATACCGAAAGTGCCACCTTCAATTTGATTTTTTTAAACCTAAACGTTTCTCTGCAGTATTTTCGTTCAGTAGTTTTTTTTAACCATTTCTTTCTTTAATGCTTAAGCTTGTATTTTATAAGACTTATATATACTGTGAAATTAATCACAACAAATAATATTAAGTGTGGAGAGGCATGTCTTCCTTCAATCTTTTTAGCGTGCTACACTTCAGACAGCAAAGACATTAAAATAATAAAAGCTACACAATATGTTACATAATTCACACTATAAAAAAAGTCTATTAGTATAAATTCCACTCKAGTCTGTTTTCGCACTATCAGCCCAAATCTCTTTCACTTTTTCTTCCATTTCTTCAGTTCATTCATGGCTGTTTAACCAAACACAGGCAATCCAAGCCATGCTGTATACATTCTGATGTTTGAAGCTCAAAACACTAAACAAAGGGGTATTATTCACATAAAATTGTTTTACAATAATATGAAAATCCTCTATTACTTTTTTTAAAATAAAATTATTTGGCTCTGTCTATTTTGGGACAAGTTGTCAATGTTGAAGTCTGTCATGTCCTTGGAAAGTAATAATTTCCAGCAGATATTTTGGCTTTCGTTTCTAAACTGGGAAAGTGCGAGATTAGATATGTCTTTTTTGTTGTCACAACAGAAATTCTAACACCTTACTTGTAAAGGCTACTGGTTATGTAATTGCCTAAACTACATTTTAAAACTTTGACTATATTACACAAAAAGGCACAGTTTTTCATTTTTGTTTTAATGCTATAGCTATTTTGTAAGATTCAGTACATGTAAGTAATTTATGAAACAAAATATGGATTTTTCCAAGTACATTGTATATTAAAAGTTTTTAATCCTCTTTGTGAAAATAGTTGATGTCTGTTTTAAATAAGCTATATATAAGTTCTTTTTTGCCATGAAATACTAGCTTAGTTCTTGTATTTCTGCTTGCTTGTGGTGTTTAGCACTCAAACAAAACTTTAGTATTAGCTATGAATTATTAATCGTAAAACAGACATAGTCTTAACTATTCCTAAAGATTAAATATCCATTTCCTGTATAAGAATTAATTTCTGCATTTCTTAACTTTCYTTTTTTGTGACAAATAACTAACATATGATACTGATGGGTATTGGTTCTAAAAGGCAATGTTTTATATAATGTTCTAGATTTGTTTTGTTTTTGCAATTACTTAACATAATTACCATAAATTACATAAATTTCATTCAAATAAATATAATGTAAACAGATTGCCAAATTACATGTGTWRRARKTWARKWARRWTTTTTTTTGCAGTTTACAAGGAAGTACACACATATTTTTGTATGATTATAATTATTATGTATGGTTATTGTCATAAAAAAATATTCTTATTTTACAAAATGTTGATAAGTTTTTCTTGTACGTTTACCAGTCACAGTTGAACGACATGATAAATATTGCAGAAAAAAAGCATTGTATTGTTCATGGCGATAGTATAAAATGATACTAGTTTTATAAAGCAATATTTTATCTGGCATTTAAATTTCCTTTGTAAATGCTACATTCCTTGATGACTTAGACTTTAAATAGTTGTTTCAGACAATATAACTGTCAACAAGAACTGCTTGTCATGGATAATTTTTGATAGGCACATGTATTGTCTGAAAGATACCACATTGGCATCCAAAATACCATACCATCATCTGTTTGTATGCACGGATAATGGTGGAAATCTGGTAATTATCATAGAAAACCTATGAAATTTAAGAAGTTTGTATCATCCAAAAAAACTATTGTTATGTCTATCAGGGTCTTGAGGATAGATTGCTGTTTGGCAGCGTTTAGTTTAAGTGTATGGAAGCTAGAGATCCCAAACATCCAGTGAACATTACTTTTCAGTAATGTTTTTTTTTTCCGCTTTGATCAATTTTCTCATGAAGGTTGAATTTCAATCATAAAGTTTGAATTTCAAATTGAGTTTGGACCTCACTATAAGCTAGTTAATTAGTTTGTCTTTGAGCATCACTATCTTAGTGATCATAACTCAAGAGACAGGAACCAACTAGATAGCCAATAGTAAGCAACATTATCAAGAAAAGCATCTGTTYAAAATCAGAAAGACTGTTGTACACACTATTCATAATAATGAATAATGTGTAAGACTTCATCAGCGCATGTACWACAATCATAGAAGGAGTTAGAAAARTCCCCTGCTCACMAGTTACACATGTGYATACTTATAATTTAGTAATWAGTGTTCTATAGATAAGAAATCCMMTGCTTATGTTAAGGAGAGGTTTTRGTAAGGTATTCATTGAAAATGTAAGTGCTCCTTACCCAGACTATCCAAATGGTTTAAGTGGATGCTTCTGTTCTAAAGTGTATTGGAGTATTGTAGAAATGCTGTGGATGTAAAMTTTTTCTGAAAGTCACAATCCAGTTCCTTTTTTATTGTTTAATTGCCTTATAGGATYTTCAGCATTTTCATGTCTTGCAGCATAAAAATTATTGCAGAATAAAAATGAAATGGAATTGTTCCATTTGAATACTTTCTATTGTATTTCTAGACGGTTATTCTCTTTATGGATTCTAAAGCCTAGTTTACACTAGCAAATTTGTTGGCTGACAATCAATACAAATTTTGCAGCAATTTTATTGTGCAAATTCATGGAGACATGTTGCAGGCTTGAAATTTTTGTGCAAATTGCTGGAATTTTTCATTTGAACATTTAATGTAAAGTCTACGTGAATTTGCAAACTGTTTACATGTTTGATAAAATTACTGCAAAAAATGCAGCTCAATTATGTCACAGGACATACATGTAATTGCTAGGTATACAGGGCTTTACAATACAGTAGCTGMAATTATATCTTGTTGTTTTTAGTATGGGCCAAACTTTATCAGAACCTGTTACTACCAAAGAGACTTCCTCATGTTCAAACAAGCAATTCAAAGTCGGGTCATCCTGTATGCAGGGCTGGAGAATAAGTATCCTTGACATGCAATGATAAAATTATACTTCTATTTAATATCACCTGGGCTTAGTCTTACCTGATGTTTATATTCTTTGATTCATTTCCCTTTTTCCAGTTTCTTTCTTCATCTTAACAAAA